ACGTCTCCATCTGTCTGCGGCTTCCTTCGCTACAGCTCTCCATATATTCCCGCGCCTCTCAACTCTGGGATTGATCAAGATGGGACCCTGGAGATCTGAGCCCCTTCCCGAAAACTGGCCCTTCATCCCGAATCGTTTGACGGCCCCGGATCCCGAAAACGGACCTCCAAATGCCGAACATTGCGAAACAACTCTGCCTGGATGTTTCTCATGCATGGCCGTGGAGATTCGGGCCCATCGGTGCAAGTCCCCCCACGGCACACACGCCGCACCTTGCGCACGTTCAAGATTGTGCCCACGCCGTCCGTGGTCAGCCGCCCCCACCACGCGCGGAGTTCCAGTACCTTTTGCGCCGCGGGAGGAGACGCTTTCCGACGCACTGCGGGCCGCACTGCGGGGCCCCAACCCTCGCTCGAGCCTCGAGAACAGGTGCAGAGGCGCTTGTCAGGCCGATCGGGCCTCCAAGGCCCCCCTCGTCGACACGGCCGGGGTCGATTTTTCCCTGGCTGGGCTTGTCTAGGGGGGCTCCTTCTGATTACTCAGTAGTTGCCTCACTTCCAGCAGGCATGAACTGGATCGAACTGCAAGATCGGATCGGATCGCAAGCGAATCGTCCCGAGTAGGGTCCAGCTAGGGTCGAGCTAAGAGTCGAACTGTAATCGAACAGACCTTTCAGGTGGCCCCCCAGGACGGCCCCAAAAACCAACATTCAACAGGGGATGGGGGGGGCTGTTTCCATGCTCTGCTGGGCTGGTACTCTCATCGTGCGCGGTGGGTGCGCAATGCTGGTGCGCGCGCAGAACACGGCCAGAAACTGTTTTGCTCAGCGTGCCGCCACCGCGGCACCCCCCTACACGCTGTGCCCTGCGAGCGGGTAGCGTGGCCGCTCCGCTCTGCGGTGCGGGAGGCAGGGGAACAGCTCGAACCGTGGACGCTAGGGGACGTGGAAACCGATAGCGTGTCGCGCCGCAGCGTGGTGGGCCAGAATCGGCGCTGCCACACGCTACAGCCATCGTGCTGACACCAGGCACGCCAAATATGAAACGAAGGGGCTTCTCTGGCCACGCCGAGCATCGGCCACGAAGAAGGTTCCCCCGCCTAGACCTAAGGAGCGGTCCGAAAACCACAAGCCCCTCCGCAGTCCAAAGTGGTGATTATTTTTGCGTCTTGGCTATAAGCCAAGGTTCCCGACCGCAGACTGTGCAGGGTTGCGGCGATCAGCTTCTGCAGGCGGCGTGCACTTCGTCTTCTCGGGTGCCATCTCGACGGGCGGGATCGGAAGCCTCGAGGTGTTAGTTCGTGCGAGTCGGGAGTGCAATGGAATGCTCTTCCTTGGATACAGCATCAACATTGGTCCCAGTCCCACTCCTGCTCCCCCTCACCCCCACTCGGTGCATCCCTCATCCGTCTCCTCCTCCTCCTCCTCCTCCTCGTCCTCCTCCCCCCCTCCTCCTCTTCCTCCCCCTCCAACTCCTCATCCTCCTCCTCCTCCTCCTCCTCCTCCTCCTCCTGATCATCATCATCATCATCATCATCATCATCATCATCATCATCATCATCATCATCATCATCATCATCATCATCATCATCATCAGCATCAGCATCATCATCACCATCATCATCATCATCATCATCATCATCATCACCATCATCATCATCATCATCATCATCATCCTCATCCTCATCCTCATCCTGATCCTCATCCTCATCCTAATCCTCATCCTCAACCTCCTCCCCCTTTCTCCTCCTCATTCTCCTTCTCCCCCTCCTCATGATCACCCCTCCATTATCCTCATCCCACCGTTCTACTCCCATCGTATCCCTCTTGCCGCGTGGCCAAAGGGGTCGCGGGTCATGATTCATCTCGTACCACAAAATTTGATGGCGGACCGTGGGCAAGAGAGCTCTTGAACCGTGGAGCTCCAAAGGCCGACCGAGACGCAGTGACTTTCTTTTTCCCTCCTCCTCGTCCTCCTCCTCCTCCTCCTCCTTCTCCTCCTCCTCCTCCTCCTCCTCCTCATCTTAGTCCTCTTTTCTCTCACGCCTCCTCCTCCCTCCTCCTCCTCCTCCTCCCTTCTCCTCCTCCTCCTCCTCCTCCTCCTCCTCCTCCTCGCTCCTCCTCCTCCTCCTCCTCCTCCTCCTCCTCGTCCTCCTGTTTCTCCTCCTGTTTCTCCTCCTGCTTCTCCTACTCCTCCTGCTTATGCTGCTCCTCCTGCTTCTCCTCCTCCTCCTCCTCCTCCACCTTCTTCTCCTTCTCCTTTCCTCTTCCTCGTCCTCCTCGTCATGCTCTCCTCCTCGTCCTCCTCCTCCTCCTCGTCCTCCTCCTCCTCCTCCTCCTCCTCCTCTCCTTCTCCTCTCCTCCTCCTCCTCCTCCTCCTCCTCCTCTTGCTTCTCCTCCTGCTCCTCCACCCCCTCCTCCTCCTCCTCCTCCTCCTTCTCCTATCTCCTCCCTGGCTGGTGGCCCAGGGTTCGGCGGTGCCTGGTGGTGGTCCAGGCCCATATGCTGGGCCACGGCCTCCTGCCAAGGGGCGCGGCCAGCGGGACGCGACGCCTCGATGATTGATCTTCGCACGCTGACCTTCGAGGCTCGATGGACGGGGGGCTTCCTCCTCCTCCTCCTCCTCCTCCTCCTCCTCCTCCTCCTCCTCCTCCTCCTCCGCCTCTCTCCATCTCCGCCTCCGCCTCCGTTTTCTCCGGCCCTCGCCACCTCGGTCTCCTCTTCCGCCTCCTCCTCCTCCTCCTCCTCCTCCTCCTCCTCCTCCTCCTCCTCTTCGTCCGCCTCCGCCCACTCCTCTTCCTCCTGCTCCTCCTCGTCATCCTCTTACTTCTTTCAAGCATATCTCTCGAGCGCATCGGTATACCCCTCCTCTTCCTACTCCTGTTCTTCCTCATCCTATTCCTTCTATTTCCAGATTCCTCTTCCTCCTCCTCCTGCTCCTCGTCATCCTCCTCCTCCCTGTCTCCCTCCCCCCCCACCCCCCTCCGGCACAACCTCTCCTCCCTGCCCCCTCCTGCTCCTCTTCCGCCTCCTGCTGCTGCTGCTGCTCACGTTCATCCTCATCCCCCCCGACTGTCATTATAACGGGGACGCAGAGGAAGGGGAAGAAAACGTTCCACCTTTGGGCCACCCCTTCTTGAACCTCCAGCAGCCTCTGGGGGCCTCCAGAAGCCTCTGGGGCCTCTTCATTGTACTAGTTTTACTACTCATCATTTTCCTTCTCATTCTCTTCGTCCATCGCGGTCCTCGGCTTCATCGCCGCTCCAATCCACTCCCATCCCACCTTTCCTTCTCATCTCCATTCCGCACTTCCCCACTTCATCCTCCTCCCATCCCTTCCTTGCTCATTGTCTCCCTCATCGTTCTCCTCTTGTTACTGCTGCTACTTCTCCGCCTCCTGCTTCTACTGATCCTCCTCCCTCCTTCCCCCCCTCATCTTTTTGTTTCCGTTGTTTTCCCAGGAGGAGAGGGGATGGGGAGCGCGCGATCACTGAATCACATCACGGCGTGACTGGCACAGTAGCGTGAAGCAGAAGACCACCAGGCAAACTGGGATCGCTACGCGAGCCGACCTGCCATAGGCAAGCTCATGCGGTAATTGATGGCCTGCAAGAACAGGAATGACGAACGGGTGTGAAAGGCCATAGGGGGACGGGACGAGGAGGACGAGGAGGACGAGGAAAAACAAGCGGGGGCAATACACACTCACACATTAGAAGAAACGAATCCAACCCTTGATGATCCGTGACAAGACAATCGACCAAAACCGCAAGACCCTAAGAGAAATCTGGGTATCGCATTGTCGAAGGCAAAACGTGTGAATGAGATATGCCTCTCGAAATGCTGTTTGGCATGTTGTACTCGAACATGTTACGCCAGAGCCAGCGCTGCCCCAGACACACGTCCAGGGCTAGCGACGGCTGACGTCATGACGAGCACGGCCGAAACAAAAGACTACTGCCACAGCGGTGCTGACTGACGTGCCCTCAGTGAGTGCACGGGGCGAGCGCGCGAAGCGGGCCAGCGCGCAAGACACGGCGAAGGGTCCCCCTCCAACGCCATGGATACCAGCGGCGCTCAGTAGGGCCACTTGGCCGCTGAGTTGTTTTTTGGGGGAGGAGCGAGGCAAGGAGGGACGGAGCGCGGGGGGAGCGGAGGGGGCGTGGAGAGAGCGGGCAGGGAGGCAGAAACGACTTCCCCTTGCGACGCCGCAGGCGAGCCGCGGCCGGGGCAGGCCGGCGCAGACAGATCTGCGTGGGCCAGCACGGCGACAGCCCACCAAGGACGCAGACGGGGCATGCAGACTGGAGGGGAGAGTGGGGAGGAGGAGAGGAAGGAGTGTATCCACATCTGCTGGGAGGTGCTCTTCGAGGGAAGACTAGATCGACCGATACACCGTGAGTATTTGCGCGCGGGCGAAGCCACGGCCTTCATCTTCACTGTGGAACGAGCAAACGCCGTCGGTTCCTTCGGCATGCGCTCGCCGATGCCTGGGAACATTGCGGCGCCACCAGACAAGATCACGTTGGCGTACAGGTCCTTGCGGATTCCGACATCGCACTTCATGATCAACTGGAACATGGTGTCGTGGATGCTGGTGTCTCCCTTGCCTACGAACTGAGGCTGGAAGAGCACCTCTGGGCAGCGGAAGCGCTCGCTGCCCATGGTTATGGTCCCGTCGGGGAGCTCGTGCGTCTTCTCCTTGTCGGAGCTCTCAATGGCGGCCTTCATCTCTGAGTCGAAGTCGAGAGGGATGTAGCAGAGCTGTTCCTTGACGTCGCGTACGGCCTTTCGCCCAGCCGTGGTGGACGGAGTGGCAAAGCTCGGTGAGAATTTTCACCGAGTGCTCCGTAGGGTCCCACACCGCCAGATCCCGGCGCAGGATCGCGTACGGCAGCGCGTAGCCCTCATAGATGGGTACGGTGTGCGGCGCGTGCGACGCGCCGGCGCTGGAACCCATGACCGTCCCAGTGGTGCGGACTGAAGCGTACAGCGAGAGCACTGCTTGGATCCTGACGTACATCGCCGGCACATTGAACGTCTCAACCATGATCTGCGTCATGCGCTCGCGATTCGCCTTCGGGTCCACGGGCGCCGCCATGAGGAGCAGAGGGTGTTCCTCCGGAGCCACGCGGGGTTCGTTGTAGAAGGTATGGTGCCAGACCCCCTCCATACCGCCCCGGTTGTTCACGATGCCATGCTCGATGGGGTACTTCAAGGTCAGGTCGGCGCGCTTGCTCTGGGCAGCGTCGCCCACGTAGCTGTCCTCCTGGTCCATACCGACCATGGTTCCTGGCGCCGGAAGAAGCTGCACCCCTGGGGCGGACCAGGAGGCAGAGTGCAACCTCGGGCGGACAAAATGCACTGAGAAAATGAAACTCTGCTCACCTGGAGCGAACCAGGAGGCAGGCTGACGCCTGGTGCGGACCAGGCGTAACGACTGGCTCAGGGCCGTGTTTAGGCTGCCTATGTGCCTTGAGCCTTGAGCCACTCCCTTGAACCACTTCCCCCCCTCTTCCTACAATATTAGATCCTGCCACCCATCGCGTCTCCCTTCCCCCTCATCCATCGCGTCACTCTCTTCCCTCCTCTTTCTTCCCTCCATATTCCTTTCACCTCCCATCTGCATCCACCCTCCCTTCTCCTCCTCCTGCTGATGCGTCTCATGCTGCGGCTGCTGCTGCTGCTCCTCCTCCTGCTCCTCCAAGCTATGCCTCTTCCTCCTCGGAGAGAAAAACCGTTACCCCCGCTTCAATCCCACACTAAACAAAGTTGGCGTCTGGGCGTCTCGGCAGCGAGGGCGAGGTTCGGGGGCTGTCCTCTGCTCCTCACCCTCCTCCCTCTCTTCCCATTTCTGCCCATGGTCCTAGCTAGTGGGGAGCATCCTGGAGGCCTCGCGCGGCGACTTGAGACGGATACACCTCGGATTCACGCTGGATAGGTCGGATTTAGCACGAGCTCACGTCGGAGTTTGGTCGGAACACCCTCCAGCGAACGTCGCCTCAGATCTGACGTGCGGACTGGACATACACACCGCAATTGCGGATAAGAGAGAGGGGCGTCTGGGCTGTCCGCCGGGGCTGTCCGCCAGGGCTGCCCGCTGGGGCAGAATGAACACTGGCAGGCGCACCGCCAAAGCACTTTCCAGCGCCCTCCACAGCGGAGGAGTGAGCTGCCCACGTTCTCGTTTACCTCCTCCTCCTCGTCCTCCTCCTCCTCGTCCTCCTCCTCTTCCTTATCTTCATCCTCCTCCTTCGCCTGCTCCTCCTCCTCCTCCTCCATCATCATCATCATCATCATCATCATCATCATCATCATCATCATCATCATCATCATCATCATCATCATCATCATCAGCATCAGCATCATCATCATCATCATCATCATCATCATCATCATCATCATCATCATCATCATCATCATCATCACCACCATCATCATCATCATCAGCATCAGCATCAGCATCAGCATCAGCATCATTATCATCATCGTCCTCTCCTCCTCCTCCTCCTCCTCCTCCTCCTCCTCCTCCTCCCTCCTCATCCTCCTCCAGGTCATCCTCGTCCTCGTCCTCGTCCTCGTCCGCGTTCTCGTCCTCCTCCTCCTCTTTCTGTTCGTCCTCCTCGTCGTCCTCCTCCTACTCCTCTTCGTCCTCGTCCTCGTCCTCCTCCTCCTCTTCCTTTTCTCCTCCTCCCATTCGTCCTCCTTGTGCCCCCTTCTCATCACCCGATTTCGTCTTCCCCGTTGATCTCCTTGTCCTCCTCTTCCTCCGTTTGCTGATCCCCCATCCCCTCTTTCCAAGGAGAGCGACCAACAATTCCTTTGTTCCACTGCACGGCACCCACTTCCCTGATCAAGGGAACTCGACTGGGCATCGTTGCTGGAAGGGCTGGGTGGAGATGAGCGGAGCTTGATGAATCCACTGGAGGTTATATCCGATTCCACATAGAAGCAGAGCCAAGGACCACGGACATACATATGGCCAATGCCCCGTATGCAGAATCCGCCGCCGTGCTTGTACGGCAGGTGGGTGTTAGAATGCCTGTGGCATTTCTGATCGCATTCTTGGGCGCCCCCCCCCTGCTGAAGGTCGCTGGACGCCCCAAAGCACCTTCCCCGTGGGCGCCTCGAGGCACGATCCCCCAGGCCTGGGCACGGCTGAGGAAGTGGCAGAAAAGCTGCAAGAGAGCCCGACTGCACCCCAAGAGGTCCATGGACTCTCCGGAGCGGAAGAGGATGGAGGATGCCTGGAGAGGAAGAGAATGAGGAATGAGAAAGGATGGGGCGCTGTCCCCGACCAAAGCAACGCAGCCCGCCGAAGGCACCACATCTTTTTATCATGATGTCGAATGAACATGTGTGGGGCCGCCGGTGGTTCGTAAGTGAGTCGCGGGTGGTCGCGCGGTGTTTGCGGCTTCCCAAACCATTGCAATGCAGCCCGCCGCAGGCGCGACATTCTGTATTGTGTTGTCGATGGTGGTGTGGGTCGCGGGGTGGGTCGC